CAAGCTCCATATTCCTCTTTAACACTTCCATCAGGGACCCCTAAGTTTCCGGCTCCGAACCTGTCCCTCTTGTGTGCGTTTTCACAGTGAAAGGGACCTGAGCACCTGTCAGCCAGGGCCTATGTTCGTGGCAAAGTCGTAGGGTGCATCCCATCAGCTCTGGAAGACCTCTGAGATGCCGAGGACTTACAGCACAGAACTGACCTGGGCGTGGTATGCAGCTGGGATCCACCTCTTCACACATGAAAGAAGAGGGCAGAAGGGCTTGGGCTGAGATGCTGTCTGTTGAGTGTTTGCTCTTAGGAGAGGGTTGAAGCATGAAGTCTACAGTTAGCAACTGTTGCATTTTAAATGGCTCAGACATTTATCACTCTTAGATGAGAAATCAGCAAGTATGTTTTCAGTTTCCTAGGAAGGTAATTCTGTCGGCTTTGTTGCTTCTAAAGTCATTCTTTTTAGGAGATAATTACATTCAGAGGCTGTAGGGAAATTTGGTGTAAACTTTTTGTTTCTGTCTCATCACTTTTAACAGAGCACAACTCGAATGTACATCAGGCTGCACATGGCCTGTTTTCCCTCTGGCTCTCCACCATAAGTACCTGCCATAATTCCTGCTCAGTGACCCCAGACCACCCTCAGGTCCAGTGGATGCTCATTACTCCCATTTCTTCCAGTGAAAGGCTACAGGCTACCTGCTTATTGGGGTGTTAGTGTCACAGGTATCGAGGAGCTCCAGATCCCAGAAGGAAAGGAGGAGGAGTTTACCCTCAGTCACACTGTTGTGCAGACTCTGTGAGACACTTCTTGAGCGTATTCCCAGAGCACACCCCCAGGAGACAGCTGACTACTTCTTGGGAAGATGGGCCCTTCTGGGGATAGACAGGGGCATGCTCAACTCAAGCCCACGGTGGCTCTTTGTGCACTCATATGGACATAGTGTTTGAGTGCCTACACATGTGTCTTCTTCCTTATTGCTGCTCACTGGGAAGGCCTGGCTCTTCCTGAACAGTGTAGGCGTGTGTGTGTATGTGTGCACGCGCGTGTGTGTGTTACTGTGCACCTGCGTGTGATTCCCTAATGCTGCCCCCTATGAAGACCTGGGAGCTGGCTTTTCCTACACAGTGCTCGGTAGAGTATAGTTTTTATTGTCGTTGTTTTCAGTAGAATGAACAATTAGGTCTTTCATAGAAATTAGATGGTCATCTGACATTTTAACATGAAACATTTTGTCACAGATTATCCTTAGGTGTTCCATCTGTATAGTTTTTCAATAGATCTCTATTTTTGTTACCCCAAACAAAATCACCCAAATAGTTTCTGATGAATTTTAATAAGAGATAATAGGAAATAAATATATCTTTCCAAATGGGAAGGAGATGAATAGATGAGGAAGAGGAAAGGGAGATGAAAAAAGAAATATAGATATACCAACTCCATGCAAGGAATGTACTTGCAGGTACCACAAACATGTACTGGTTAAAAAATTGTTTAAAGAAAATACATTAAAAAGTAATACTTGTTGTTTTGAGATTGTGTGGCAGGTGTTGCTAGGCTGGGTCCTCAGCTACTTCTGCTCTGGCTTGGATGTGAACAGAAGGAATAAGAGAAATAGTCTGGGTTTTGCCTTGGTCTGCCTTCTGGGGTGAGATGACACCATAGGCGTATGCTCCCGTCCCCTGAGTGGTTCATGCTGTGTTAGAATAAGGCTGATATGTTCTTTTTTTTCATCTGATGGGTGCAAGGCTGCTGCATGTCCTGTCTTTAGAATGAGAAGGGCACAAACTGTAGATGCATGCCTCCACACACCCCAAGGCACAACGTTTTGCCCAGAGTAGAATTGTATGTCGTTGCACATCTGTCCTGACATCTCTCTGTCTCCTCTGACAAACCACCTGAAGTTTCTTTATGCCCAGCCTTTCAAGATAAAGCCTGAGAGTACAGCCCAGTGCCAGCCTTCCCAGAGCAGAATGTGGCCGTGGTCCACATCCTGCCTTTGATCAGGGCCTGTCTTGCCTGTGAGTATGCCCTCCACCAGTCCAGGGCTCACTCTCACACTCTGTATGTGTGTTGTGTATATGTGTATCTCTGTGTTGCCCCAAGACTGCTGAGTGCAGTTTGAAAGGCTGCTGGAAAGTTAAGTGTAAAAATTGGAAGGAGTATTTTGGAGGGGTTCATTTTGGTGAGATTTATTTATAGCTCTGTAATCCTGGGCATCAAAAATATGTTTCTGAAATTGGTACAGGCTGTCCCCAACACTTGTCCCACGTCCAGGTCCCCACAAACTTCTGCCAGTTCTGCACTTAAGTAACCTGGGAATCTTAGTGCTTCCCTTCTGTCCTGTCATCACCAGCACCTGGGCCGGGCTGCACCTGCCTGTGCTTACTGTCTCAGTGTCAAACATCCCTGGATATGCTTGCCTTCAGAGCCCAGCAGATGAAGTTGTGGGTCACAGGTGATGTGTATTTTCAGTGCTAATAGATACCGTTCAGCTTACTTCCCGAAGACCATCCCATTTCACACAACTCTCAGAACGTAGAGCTTTCTCCTCCCCATCCTCACCGTGGCAGGGTCAGTTTCAGCATGGTAGTACGGTGTGATACTAGATTACTACCCTAATTTGCATTCCCTTGATATTGTTTTGCATCTGCTGTTCATTTTAATTTTAGTTGCTTTGCTTTATTCTGGGAATGTTTCTCCCAGTTAGATTATGTGTTGTCTTAGTGGCTTATAGAAGCTTTATACATCACGGACCACTTTGCGTGTGCCATCTGTGTGCAGATTTAGTGTTTATGGCTTTGTAGTCTCTTTTGCTAAGAAAATACTAATTTGTGTATAGCCAAGTACATATTTTGGGGGAGTGTCTTGTTTCATGATTCAAAAACTTCCCCTGAATTATAGGTCCTTTTTTGCGGTACTAGGGATCAAACGCAGGTCCTTGAGCTTGCAAAGCAGGCACAGGGCCCTGAACTACATCCCTGGCTGTAGGTCCTTTTACATATGCTTCACATTCAGCTCTTAATATTCTTTCCTACAAATGGTGCTACAACAGTTAAATGTCCAAATGCAAAAAAAAAAAGACTC